ATATTATATTTAAAATTTATATAAAAATTTATATATAATTAATTATAAATATTATAATTAATAGCATTTAATTTATACCATAAAGAAACAAGTTAAATAATCTTTTTTTTTTCTTTTTTTCTTTTTTTAACTTAAGAAATTGATTGAGAAAGGAGAAATAAGACCTGAGGCTATAATGCAGGTCATGCGTACAAACACATACCATCTCAAGTGGGTGGTCACTACACCACTAAGTGCTAGACGTTAAATAATCTCTTTCTTTTAAATGCAGATGGAGGCTCGTTGTCATCTTGAATCACTCATGAAGGTCTAGATATTTTTTTGAACTGTCCCTTTCTTTTGTTTTTTATTATGTGTTTGTTTCTTGTGCTGCTAACATGTACCATAAGGAAGGCATTTCTCGACCCTAATTGGGTCAAGCTTGGTTCCCACTGGGCTCATTTAGATCTAAGAGCAGCCCATTCTAAGCTTGAATTTGTAGTAGCCCAATAGCCATTAATCCAAGCCCATCTTGTAGTTATTAAACCATTGAACGGATAACAAGGGGCAATATTCCTCTAGCAAATTATTCCTATTTTTGCAGCTCTCCATTTAATTATTTACATTTTACAATATCAATTATTTTTATTATTAAATCCCGTTTTACAATTCCCTATCTAATTATTTATATTTTACTATCAAAATTACACTTGTTATTGAACCTCAAGAAAAGAAAATTTTGGAACATTTTGAAATTAAAAGTATCAAATGTTCAATAATAATCTTATGATGAATTTAATAAAATTATGATTTATATCATTTAATCAAATTAAGATTAATATCATGTCTTACATATTATATGATTATTATTAGATATATTTGGCACTTTTAATGTTAAGAGGTTCTTATTTTTCTTTTTTCACTTAAATCTTTCTAGTGCGCTACAATATATTTTGCTGTCTCAACTTGCAGAAGTTACAACACAGTTTTCTTCCTTACGAATTCCATTATGATTCTCTAACTTACTTCCTATAGAATTTCTTTTCCCAATTTTCTTCTATAAGAATACCGTTCTCATTAAGACTTTTATAGCAGTTTGCACTTTACAGAAATTTAAATTTGTGACCTTTGCCCTCATAATCAAGCATTAAGAAATTAGAATTCGAAACTTTCAAAGGAAAATTTGGAAGGAAAGGCAGTTTGAAACATTCAATTCAGTTTCATCATATTCAATTGCAATGGGTGTTTCATCTTTCATGGTGGAAAAATCTCACATTTGAATCGAGGATGAATGCTTTGAGAAAAAAAAAACCAGTGGTGTATACTTAAATTGTATATCGAGGCATTATTTCACACTCAAGAACATTAAACTTGATACATGTTACGCAAACTTTCACTTAAAAATTAGCCAGCAACTCTGCATCTGCTAGTACATGCCCTTCAATTGATTCCAGCACCTTCTCCTTAGTCACCTGTACATCACAAATTTAGAAGAAAAAAAAAATTAATTACCCAATTTAAATCAATTAAGAACAGAAAATGTAAAATTGAGTTCTCTTGTAGAAATTGCATTTTCTATAACCATTAATAGAGAAATAATCTCTTAATATATCAAGCTCCTTTAATTAAAAAAATAAAGTTTGCATCAAAATGATTACAAAAATTATATAAATAAACTAAAAAAAGGAAAATCATATACCTTGTTACCGAGATGCAACTCATCATCTAAAGCATAGAGCTTGAAAACGAACCGGTGGCCATGGGACGGTAGCATTGGCCCGCGCCATCCTGGGACCTTCCAGTCATTGTTCCCTTCTTTAATCCCAGCATAATCCCCACCCACCTCTTCTTCCTCCCCGGAAAACCCCTCCGGCAGCCCCTTCAGTGTCGGAGGAATGTTGACCACAACCCAATGAGTCCATGGCACGATAGGGCGACTGGGGTCCGGCACATCAATATCCTCCACCACCAGGGCCAGAGACTTGGTACCCTGCGGCACATTGTACCATTCCAGCGGCGGAGAAATGTTCTTCTTTGCACCCTGACCTTCCTGAGTATACTTCCTCGGCAGCCTTGCTTCTTGGTTTATCTGCGAAGATGCCAATTGAAATTGATCTTGATCGCTGGCCATATTAACGAATTCAAAAGTTCTGTTTTTCTGATGCTATCATCTGGGAAGGACAGGGTTTATATACAGCTGTGGATTAAGGAGAGGGGTGACAAGTGCTGTGAGAAGCGTTGTGCGGTGTCGAGAGGATGTGCAAGGAGGAAGGGGGTGGCGACACTTGGAGGGCCACGCGGGGAAATATGGAGAATCGGAGATGGATTCATCCAGACAGAATCACAGAATTTAACAGTTCCATTTTCTGGTGGCTATTCGTTGCGAAAGATTTTGAGATTGGGCTGGCTTGGTCATGGGCTATGCTTAGCGAGATTCATTTCTAAACTTTTTTGGGCCATGACAACCCATTAGGTTCTTGTATGGGCTTTAAAAGAAACTTATTGTAAAGTGTAATGATTCATTCTAAATAAGATTTTGATTTCGAGTTTTATGAATGGAGAAATAAGTGCGGGAATAATTTTTTCCTAATGAGGTCCGGCATAATTCAATTCCAAATTAATCGAAATCCAATGTAGTTATCGAATTTTGGAATGTTAGTATAAAAAAAATTAAGCATTTAAGCCGTTAACCAGAGTTAATTATTTCCCAGATGAAAACCCAAATGGAGTAATCATACAGCTATGATGCTTCTTCAAAGTTCAAACACATTTAAACGTATGATCTAATTATTATTATTTTTTTCTAGTTTAACCTTTATATTACATTATGAGGTAGTTTTTATATAATTTAATAATTAAATTATACAATAAAAAATTACTTTCACTACTTGTCTTACTATTCGAACTTCATAGCTTATCAATATCTTACTACGTTATGGATGGTGATGGTCATGGTGATTTTACGGGGTGGAACCTTCTTTTTCATATCTCCAACGGTATGGGCCGTAAGATCGAATCTAAATTCTCCAATTCCCAGAGGTTAACAAGTCATGTTCCAACGGTACCATAGACTCGTGGTGTGCCCATATAAATTATAATATTTATATTTGATTTAATTGATATTTTATTTAATTACAGTCTTTTTGTTAAACAATTAAAGTATGAAGTTGGTACTATTAATGTATACATTAATTTTAATTTATTAAATAATAAATATTAATTATTTTTCTTAATTATCAATTATTTCAAATAATAAAATCAAATAAAATTATTAAAAACAATACTAATTACAAAATTTATATAATTATAACAAATTTGTCTGTTCCCATTACAAATTTTTATGTGGTGATGGACTTGTTATAATTTTTATCTTCTTCTTAGTGGCGAAATTTTGGTAAAAATTTATTTTTGACTCTTTATTTTAATAAATTTGTAGATTTTAGTCCATAAACTTATATTATAATATTTTTAATTTATCACCTATGAAAATTGAAAAAAATAACTCTTATTTATTTAACATGAAATTATAATATTCATCAGTTGATTGTTAATATTCAATTAATAGTCAATTGACAAACTATTAACGGTAACAAGAATAAAGTTAACGAAATGTTAATAGTCAATTGACGAATGTTATAAATTGATATTAAATAAAAACTATTTTTTTTTAATTTGTAAAAATAAAAATTATTTTTTTTAATTTTTATAAGTGATGAGTTAAAAATATCACAATGTAAATTAAAAAATTAAAATATATAAATTTATTAAAATAAAAACTTACAAATAGAACGACTCGCTCCGGTTAAGTGGCATTGGACTCTGGGTTAGGGTTGTTCACCTCCAGTGGGTTACACATTCGAATTCTACGGTATCCCTTTCCCCTCTCCCCTAATTAACCCGTAAATAATTACAAATTATTAAAAAAAAAAAAAACTTACAAATAAATTTTTACCCGAAGTTTTTGCAGGGTGGTGAGTTTAGGTTGAGTATTTGATGTGGTATGGTGTGACAGAACTATCACATCCACACCAAAACCAAACCCCATACCAATGGAAAGGAATAAAATCATCACATACATCAATTAGCCGTGACTGATGTGTGTTGTTTGAGTGGATTTAAGAGGAGGAAAAGCCGGTAATTTTTCTTTCATCTGACACAAAGAATAAGAATAATTAGGGGCAATTTGTACCCCAAAAAAAAAAAAAAAAAAACTTGGGGGCAGTTATGCATAGAATGAATGTAGGGATTTAGAGGTTAAAATTCTACAATATTAACTTCCACACATAGGGGCTTCTTTTAAGAGGACTACTTCTATAAGATGCAATCAACTTCTCTAAAGAATTGGAAATTTAGCCACAAGTAATTTTAAAATTTTTCCTTAATTATTGAAGTAATGGTAGATTTAATTAACTAAAAAGTTTACTCTTCATATTATCAATTAAGTTTTAATCTTTTGAAGAGGTCAATAAATAAATAATCTCTTATGAATTTTTTAACTAATTAAACATAAAAAAAATGATATACTTTCAACTAAATTAAGAAAATATTAATATTGAAGCACACAAAAATGAATTTTAAACACCTTAACAGTTAAAAAAGAAATTTTCATAATTAATTATGTTATACAATATACGCAAATGAGTTATTTGATCAACGATAATGACTATTTTTTAATCAAATATTAACCTTACTTTTAAAGGTTTGGGGCAAAAAAATTCCCACACTCTGTAAGGTAGAGGGTAAATATTCATGGGTTTTCGTCCATTCAAACCATGCTTATACAAAAGTGATGATGAAATGGATCTAGTTAGCTTGAATATGATGATATCAAGCTGGATTCAAACGGCTTTTCCTTCCAGAATTCCCCCTTGAAAAGAAGAGACTGAAGACATGACCCCAATCTCTTTTCTTTTCTTCTTAAAAAGGACAAAACGAGGGGACATGAGTACTTCTTTTCTTTACCTAACAGTTCATAACCTAAGGGAAAAAGCCTGATTTCGTAAGGCAAAAGACCGGCAACGATTTGGTTCTTGCATCTGCAACTGCCCTTACATCCACTTCGATTTCAGAGAAGGACCCCTCCCCTTGGACCCCTGCCCCTTTCTTTCTTCTTTCACTTCACCCACCTGACCAATCAAATTAATTAAAGACAGAATTTCTCCCTTACCCTACTACTATATGTTTTCAATACATTTACTGACAAAATAATATTTTCTTGGTATATTCATATAGCTTTATAGAATTCGTCCGCTTTCATTGAAATTAAACTTCTTTAGAAATTAACACTATTAGAAAAGAGTTTCTTATATGTTAAAGTTCTTAATTATGACTTTATGTAAAATAACTATAAAAAAAATATTGTATAATTTAAATTGTATTAAATAATATAACACTAATTATTAGATGCGGTTGAGTCTCTCAATATTAAGGATTTTTTTTTCTATTTAATGATTTTTGCTTTATAATATAATGCAATTTGGACTGTAAAATAGGGTTTTTTAACTATAAATAACTTTTAAACTTAATAAATTTGCCAAATTCAATGATCTCTTGTAAATTCTCTTTTCAACACTTTCTATGTGATTGTAGTGCAAGGCAGATTAATTTATCTGTGTCATATTGGTCCAAAGACTTTAGTACCCTTTTATTTTTGAAAATTTAATTTAAAAGTTTGTTTGCAACATGCTTGCCACGTAGTTTGGCGTCCCGTTCCGTCTAAATCGTACATATTGCTATCCAACACCAACTCCAAAACCCTTGTTTGTATCCTTTGTATGCGTCCTAACTGGAAGAACAAAGAGAATATGGTCAACCCTAAGTAATAGATTTATTGGTTCCCAAATAGATCATCTTGTAGGTCAAGTCGGTTTAAATTTTGAAGTTAGTATTTTAAAAAATTAATTTTTTTTAAATATATTAGGTTAATATAAAAATATATATTTAAGATTACGTAAAAAAATTAGTTTTAAGGTTGAAGTTTACAAAAATAGACTCGGGATACTCTCACCATAAAAAATAAAAAAGAAAAAGGGAAAAAGGGGGAAGAAAGAGGAGGGATATATAGTATGCTGTATGCCCTTTTGCATTTGGTCACCTTCCCGTTGCTTGCCATAGCTAGGCATAGTGCAAACACCCGTATCCTGCGCCAAAGATTGACTGACCCACATGACGTCCTTCAAATTCATTCAAAATTAGCCTTTCTATATAAAACCCACATGAAGAAGAAAGCTTCCTTGCCAATTCTCTCAAACTTGTCCCTCCGCTCACTTCTTCCAAATGGATTATGCTTACTTCCCCACTCCTAACCCAGCTAGCTCTTCCTCTTCTATGACGGTTAGCACGAAGGAGAAGAAAAAGGTCACAAAAAGAAGTGGCACCAAAGGAGCTATGAAGCTGTCTACTGATCCACAAAGCGTGGCTGCTAGGGAAAGGAGGCACAGAATCAGTGACCGGTTCAAGATCCTGCAGAGCATGGTTCCTGGGGGGACGAAGATGGACACAGTTTCCATGCTGGATGAGGCTATTCACTACGTTA